TTGACTTAATGAATTCGCACCAAATTTTAGGGTGTGTTTGTTTTGCGGAAAATGAATGTTTTGAAAAACAATTTCCTAAAGATGATAACTTATATCACTAACAAAATTAAATGAATAAAAAATATTTTATCATCCACCAAACAATTAGATATAATTATTGTCTATAATGAAAACATTTTTCATTGATTAATTTTTTCAAGCGATACAAGAGATCATTTTTTGAAATTTTTTTTTATAAATCATTCATTTTCTGTGAAACAAATGAAGTCTTAGAAATCAATGAATTGAGGGCACCACCACGACAATTATAAGGATAGTTACTGAAAGCAACAGTAGCCATAACGAAGGACCAAGGGCAACCAAAGTACTCATGCTCAATCCCCGTCCATCTCGTGCACTATTTCCTCTGGTGGTATCTGGCTCCTCGTCCGAATTACTCGATCAAGTAGCTCGGGTCAATATCAAACGTGACATCCCTCGCAAGATCATTCGAGAATTTGCAGCAACAATCAAGAACCGCTCAAACCCACCACTGGTTCAACCACGTGATTTGATGAATTTGCATTTCCAAGTCAAGCCAACTTAAGATAGCTGCGCATAGAGACAAAAAAAAATGAATGATACGATATGATCAAACAAGGAGGGGGCGTGACCAAGAGCACCAAGGGGACCGGGCAAGAACAACATGCAAAGGAATCATCAGTCCAATCCTATTAAATGTTAACATGCAAAAAGATCATCCATATAATTCAACCAAGGGCAAATCAACGCAAAAAGAGATTAATCTAAGTAACAAAGATGCGACCTTTAATTGATTAAGCTCATGCAAAGGGGAATCAAAACACGGCAATCTCTCAATCCTATTAACTTGACGAATTTAGAGATAAACATGGAATCAAGAATCCCTGCACGTAAATCATGATCAATACGTTGCCATAGACATGCAATCGAATTATGGACACGAACCAATGGATATACGCTCGAGAAAAGATAGAATTCAATTCCTAGGGGTAAGGGATTGAAAAATATTACTTTCCAATGGATACCAACCCCGATAACACCACAATCGTGAGTATGGACACTAGGATTGGAGGATTGGGCGCTGGGATTGGACTTCTCTGCACGAACAGTTCGTGAATTCTCTGATTGAACGTGGCAGATTTGGTAACTTCTCTTGCTTGTTTCGAGGTCAATATAAACTCAAAAGGCTATGTTTCAGGCACCAAAACAATCATCTTCGAGTATACTTTTCAATAGGGGTGTCAAAAGAACCCGATCAAACACGATCTAACCCGACCCGACCTAAACCAAATAGGAAATTTTCGTATTTGGTCGGGTTGGGCTTTAACTTGTTTGGGTAACGGTAAAAACAAAGCCTCAGCTTGTTTTGGATCTACCCGAAACAAACAAAAACCGTTTGTTCTTCTTGCACCCAAGGCCACCTGAAACCCTATCTTCTTCTTCCGTTCCGACAAGAGTCTTCCTCCAAAACCATTTGTTCTCCTCCTCCTCCTCCTCCTCCTTCTTAACCATCAACCTCGTCTTTGCTTCTGCTTCTGCTTCTTCTTCTTCTTAGCTTCTCATGTGGGTTTCTTTTCCTTAGCACGATCACCTGCTTCGGAATCTCTCACTCGATGGCTTTTGGGATTTGATCTGGGATTTTATGTGGATGTGAGCTGATTTGCCGTTTGAACAAATGGAGGAGGAAGAGGTTGTCATTCTGACCTTTGGTCGCGCAACGGCGCAGTCGCACTCTCAAGCGCCTGACCTCCGGTCGCGTAACCCAGACCCACTCGCGGAACCATCTCTTCCTCCAACTTCTTTGTGAAGCTCGCCAAGAGCTCCGGATCTGCAATTAGTTTGCCTTCAAGGACGCTCTTGCCCTTCAACCTCTCGACCCTGTTTCTGCCCAAGCTCGCTGCGACGTCTCCTCCCTCGAGCTCGAGCCAGAGCCAGAGCCTCTCTGCCTTGACCAGAAGATCCTTCTCTTGCAAGAGCCTCTCGGCAGCCCGACTCATCCCCGATGTCCTTTTTGTCTTTAACTGATCTATTGCCTTTGGAATCCTCAGCCATATTTGGTTTATGATGCTTCTCCCAATTTCTTCACCTTCAACTGCAAGGACCTTTGTGCCGAAACAAAAAAAAAAAAAACGAAAAGAAGAAAACTTTTCTTCTCAGATCTGGTATTCAATTTCATCTCGACAATGATTTTTTAAAAAAAAAATTGGTCTTTGAGAAAAGGAAAGGAAATACTGTAGAGACCGAGAGGCAGAGATTTATGGGATGGATACGTCATAGCGTTGGACCTCCTGCTGGAGCTCGGCGACGCGAAGCTTCCGGAGCTCTTCAAGCCAGGCAATATGGACCACTTTGTCATCGGAGGAGGAAGGGGCGGCAGCGGCGTCGTCGTCGTGGAGGGTGGCGTCAGGGGAGGGATGGGGGGAGAAGCGGCGCTTGAGGTCAAGGTACCGGAGACGACAGCTGTCGGGGGTGGTGAGGGGGAGGGAGCTCCGAGATTGGACTTCCAAGGAGACGGAGACGGAGTCCCAGGTGTGGAAGCCATGGCGCTTAACGGCGCAGGCGTGGTGGAAATTAACGAAGTCAATTAAAAATCTCAAACACGAAACCTGACCCGGCCCGACCCGACTTGACCCGTCTCAATCGTGCAATTATATCTTGTTTAGGTCTTATTTCGGGTCGGGCCAAACACATATGTTCATTATTTTGGGTTGGGTCGGGTATCATGAAAACCCGATCCAACCCGACCCGACCCATTGACACCCCTACTTTCCAACAATATATTGCTAGCACACTGATGTAAAATATATTGCGCAACCTCCTACTTTCTGCTCATGTATGTTGACTTGATTTTGCAACAATGTTAGTGATTTACTACAAGATAAGAACAGCGCAAGTGTCATAATTTTGTACAACGCTCAATTGAGTGCTATAACTTTTTGTTCGATTACTTGAGTGTCATGACTTAACAAAAAAAAATGTTCACGCTAAAGTGCCATAACTTTTAATTGATCATTTGAGTGTCATCATTTTTTTAAAAACGTTCACCTAAGTGCCAGAAATCCAATGTGCCATGCACTTGTGTCGAATGTTTTCAAAAAATTTTGACACTCAAGTGATCGATTCAAAAGGTATATGATATTTAGGTGATCGCAAAAAAAAAAAGGGTTATAGAACTTAAGTGAGTGTCTTATAGAAGTTATAGGACTCAAGTTATTGAAAAAAAAGTTATTGCACTTAAGTGAGCGAAAGATCATTTTTTAAGCCCATTCAGCCATTGAATTCAAATTTGGCCCGATTAGCTTGACTCATACCCAAACCCATTTGCTCATGAATTTGACCCACAAGACTTCAATCAACGTGTGGGCTCACTTGACCCATAAGGGTTGAGATTCCGAGATATAAACAGAGATCGGTTCCTTCTCCATTGCCGCTAGTCCCCAACTTCGACCGCTACAACCTTGTTGCCGATCGTCGCTCGCGCAGTAGAGAGAGACGCGCCTCCGCACGGATTGAGTTCGAAACAATTGCGGAGTACACTTTTGAGAGAGATTCCACGATAAAATTTCCCTCAGGGAATCGATTTCCAGAGACTTCTTTCTCGTTTCTAGCTCATCACTGCGCCCAAGGCGACGTAGCCATCGCCGGACCGCGGCCTCCCCCGAGAAGACCCTTGTTCAACTCTGTTTCGCGGCCATGAAGATCGAAGTGGCCAAAACTCGCTTGAAGCTCTTCGACGGGTCTTCGGTTTATCTGACAACAATCATGAGAGCTCTCGATAGTTGATTGGACTTAGCTTGGCTTCATCAACAAGGTAATCTCCGATTCTCCCTCATGCTATGATTCTGGCGAAGGTGAATCGAATGTGGAGCTCCTTTTGTTTCAATTAGGATCGGTCATGTTAGAGCTGCGTGTTTGATTCTGAACTTCGCATGTTGATTTCATTTGCGTATGGTCACAAACACGAGCTTGAAATCGCAAAAAATCTGCTCCTTAATCGATTGACTGCAATCTATTCCACGGAATGTCTATGAGATTTCAATGCGAATTAGTTTCATCATTTTCCTCAATCCGAAAATATGCTGACATAGATTAAGTTGATATTAATTGATTTGAGTTCTGATGTTTTCACAATGGCCGAATACATTCCTGCGAAAATCTACCTCGGCAATCTCTGCAACGAAACCTCACGGTAACTCTCTCTATACATCTTCACGCTCGTGTTGAATGTACGCAACAATCGCGAATGTAAGCAGCTTCCTGTTCGCAGCTTCCTGTTCGCAGATCTGATTTCGTTCTGTTAAAAGCTTATTGGGCCGGGCCTAATTTGGGCCCAAAATGATCATAGCTTTGAGCCCAGTCAAGTTAGGCCCAGGACAATACCGATCCCATATATAAATATCATTTGTTTCCGATGCTTCCTGAGCAGCTGGGTTCGTTTTGGGCTCGCGAGTTCTGATGCCGCGATGCGATTATCAATTAGTTCGGTCGAGGCAATTTACTGGTTTTGCGTTGCGGAACTGATCTGAACTGGTTTTTTTTCGTGTTGCTTTGGGTCTTTATCAGGAGGAGATGGAAGCGGCAATGGCTCGAGGGGTCGAGGGGAAGGACGGAGGGAAGGCTAATACCTGCCAAGAATGCGGCGCCACGTTTAAGAAGCCCGCCTACTTGAAGCAGCATATGCAGGGCCATTCGCTCGAGGTATGTCGAGCTCTCTCTGTTTGCCTCACCGGAGTTCTTTTGTTGTTCTTGATAGTGCAACGTGAAAGCAAGTACCTTGAAAATTTCAGTCGAGTTTGGACGGTGAGGTACAGTTTGTAAAGGGGAGAGGTTCTGATCACATAGGATTAGGCACTCCGTGTTGGTCTTGTTGAACAGATGGTTTTGATGTACAATGCTCGGTTGTGGTCTTTGCTTTTAAACTTTTCGCATTACAACTTCTAATGAGGAGTGTCGGAAACGGCAATTCGAATATTAGCGTTTGGGATGTACATGCTTTTCTGGGCTGTGGAATGGTGATCACCTATAAACATAGTGCCGTGAACTTCTGGAGCATCATCACATGGAAGCACCTATGAGAAAGCATCAATCTTTTATTGTGGTGTGGTTTCCCAAATAGATTTCTATGATAGAAACGTTTTAATTTTGGTTGAAAAATGAAGCTGTTTTGTTCTTTTGCATTTGTCTACAGCGAGTTTACCTATGCCGAAATCAAGACCTTGCAGGATAAAGCATGTTGGCTCATCTGATTGTGATATATAATGGCGTGAAGCATAGGATCCCACAGAAAAGAACTCCAAAATGCAAGGGGCTGCATTCTTGTATCTTGATTGGACTAGTATCAGGTCGGGGGACCACCTGAGAAGATCCTTCAAGTCAGCCTCGGTCACGCATGTTCTATTTTGAGGTTTGAAGCATCGTTTGTTTTGTTCTGTTGATATCTAGAGATTTGGTATGCTCTGTGTCTATGTGTCAATATGCTAAATTCATTTGCAGAGGCCTTTCAAGTGTTCTATAGAGGATTGCCCTGCCAGCTATAGGAGAAATGACCATTTGGCTCATCACTTTCTTCAGCATAAAGGCAAGATTTTCAGCTGTCCTGTTGTTGGTTGCAATAAGTCATTTGCATATCAAGGGAACATGAAGAGGCACGTGAATGAAATTCATAATGACGAGCTACCATCGACATCTGGTGAATTTAAGAGTCTGAAGCAGCATGTTTGTCCGGAGGTTGGGTGTGGAAAGGTTTTCAAGTTTGCATCAAAGTTGCAAAAGCATGAGGATTCTCATGGTAAGTCAATTAATTATGAAGGTGTGTTGGCGAAGCCGAATGATATCTATGAGGTGTTTAATGTGCTCATTTGATAATAATGTCATTTCAACTGCTGCAGTCAAACTGGAAACTGTGGAGGCTTTCTGTTGTGAGTGCATGAAATACTTCAGCACTGTAGACTATCTGAAGGAGCACCTGCAGTCCGCTCACCAATTAGTCAATTGCGACATATGTGGGACTAAGCAGTTGAGGAATAATATCCTACGGCATCTCCGCACGCATGAGAAGAAAAATTCGGCTGATTCAGAAGCATTCAGATGCGATGTTGAGGGTTGTCTCCGCATTTTTTCAACAGTAAGATGCAGTCACCTATAAAGTTTCTGACTGTGCATGGACTATAATTGTTTGGAACTTTGAAGCTCGAATTCTTTTATCTTGTGGCTGCTGAGTGTACATTAGCTGATGTTTTTTCTTGTTGACAGAAATCAAATTTACGTCAGCATGTGAAGGCTGTTCATCTTGAGGTGAGGCCATTTGTTTGCAGCTACAGGGATTGTGGCAAGAAGTTTGCGTATAAGCACGTGAGAGACCATCATGAGAAAACTGGTTGCCATGTTTACATTCCAGTGAGCCCTATTCTCTCATTCTCTCAATTATTGAAATTCAAATATTTACTGCTGTTGAAATCCAGCTTTTTATAACATGAGAGTTGGATGATCCTAATGCCTAGCAAATTGGCTCCTTGGGTTCAGGGTGATTTTGAGGAGTTAGATGAGCAATTTCGATCCAGGCCCAGAGGCGGGAGAAAGAGGAAATGTCCGACGATCGAGTCACTACTGCGAAAGAGAGTTACTCTACCCAATGAGCTAGATTTCCTTTCGGATTAGTGGCTGAAGTCTCTTGGCAGCGCTCCGCAGCAGCTGACGATTATAATGTACAAGAGCTGTGGTTTTTTGCCGTAGAGGCCAAGCAAAGGTGACAAATTCACTCATCATCCTCCTGTCACTTATTTGGAGTTAATAGTTGATAGAGTTTGCTATTGTTTTGTCTATAAAGATAAGAGAGCGAGTTAATCCTTAGCAAAAGATTCTTGTGTTGAGCCACTGTCAGCTGTACATCATGCAATATATAGTAAAATTCAATTGAGAATCCACTGGTCTCATACTGATCTGTCTCTGGTATATATATCGTTGAACAGTTGAAAAGTTATGGTCGGTATTTTCCTCTTTGAGATTGTTGAAGGCTTGGAAGTCGGATTTCTACTATTTTATTTGGTAATACTTAAAAGAAAATTAATAATGGTCTATAAAAATCATTTTTCTTAAGTACATAAAATTTCCTACTTTCTATTAAAATGTCAGGACAAATCCGAAGGAAGATCATGTCCACATTACTAGGGGATAAAAATGACTGTCACTAAATTTCCCAAAAAAAAAATCACAGAGTGGGAAGAAGGTGACCATCATTATCTTGTCCATGTAAACTAGGGATCAACGATTTTAGTTTCCGTACAAATTTTAACCTGGAACCCACCCATGAAATAGGTTCATTATTTTTTGAAACATGAAATCTACCTTACGTATCTTGGAACACCACTTTTAATGATCACTACTTGTTAAGATCTATTGACCAAAAATTATATTTATATACACGAAATAAATGAAACATTAGTAAGTCATAAAATGAAAGTTATGCCATGAATGCTGCAGGATCACGTGAAGACATAGATCAATAAAAAACACAAGAAACTTAATTAGTGTTTCAAGTTTCAGGTTCTACTTATCTGGAATTTACCGGTCGAAACCCGTATACCTTGGAACCTGTAATTGGAACCTTGCTCACCCCTAAACCTGTAATTGGAACTTTGCTTACCCCTAATGTAAACTATTTTCTGTGGCGGATGATGTGGCAAACGGTGCTTAAGTGGTGCACTGACGTGGCGTTTTAATTAATTCTGAAATTTTAAAAAATTAACTAATTAAGAACTGAACGAAGTTGGCCAAAAAAATATGGGAAAGTAAACGGAGTTCTAAGGGACGAAAAAACTAAAAAATGCCAATGCAAATACTGAAACAGGTTGAATAACAGAATAGAGTCGTCTTCCTCAGATCATCGCCTGAGATCGTCCCTTGAAGAGTTGTTCGTGAGTTTGACCATCGTCACTACTGCAATGAGCCCTGTGATGGTTACTCCCTCGAATCTGGTCCGGTTGGACGACCCCAACCACTGGACCAGATCGGGTCCCATGGCTGCGGCCATGGACACCTGCGAGCTCTTCGTACAGAGCTTGAATGGATGTGAGCTTTGTCCCAGAGGGCTTTGCAGCCACCACGAGATTATCGGCGAGGATTCACTGCATTCGTGAGCGTCGCCGATGGTGTTCCGTATTTTGTTTTACGAAGCACAAAACTCGTCCAGAAACATAATCCTCTTTGAAGCCCAGAAAACAAGAGAAAATTGCAAAGTGGCTATCACGAACAATGCCCTGTAAAGTAGCACAAAAGGAAAATGCCATCGAAGCTTCTGTACTCTTGTTTGAAATACAGGGTGCATTTGTTTTATAAAAAATTCAGGATTTGAAAAATATTTTTTGAAAAATGATTGGTTATGTCTTTTAGAAAAGTTAATTAACGGAAAATATTTTCGTGATTGACAAAAATTTATGCCTAACTATTTTAGTGGGTGATGGAAATATTTTCATTTATTCATTTATTTTTGTAAAGGATATAAGAGATTATTTCTCAGAATATGTATTCCTAATTTCGAGTTTCTCGTGTAACAAAATGCACCCTTCTTTGCTCTCCGAGCTTGCGACTACCACTTCAAGAGAAAACTCGCCATGTTGAGACAAGGGAAGGGCCTCTGTTTTCTTGTTTCTTGATCATGATGAGTTGTTTAATAGTCACGATTTAACATTCCGTTTGGCTCATACAAAATAATATTCCTTTCAACAGTAAATGCGTAATACCATTCATGAAAATTTCAAATAGCGATGGTAAATTTGCGCTCCTTATTGGTAATGTATATTGATGATATTTTGGAACAATATTTATCACTGATAATCGTAAATGTTCTAGTTATATATTTACTACTCAAAACTAAATCACGTCATGATAAATGGTTTTCTATTATTGGGTTTGTGGATACTAAGATTGTTATTTCATTGGAAACTTACAAACAATTATGCACCCACTTGTAAAATATAAAAATAAGTGTTAGTCTACTATCATATTCATGGATGATAAAGTTGTTATTTCTTTGGTAACATTTACTTACACGTCCATTTGTAAAATCTAAAAGTAAGTGGAAATATACCGATTGAGTCTGTCAATGGTAAAAATGTTATTTCATCGCTAATTACAAACGGCTAACCGGATTAACAAGCTATTGATCACTTTTTACTTATCATTGGTATTTCGAATTTATTATTGACGTTACGTAATTACCGTCCATAGAAGAAATTCGGTTTTATTTGTAAGCAGAATTTTTATATACAACAATTTTGCATTCTCTAGTCAAGTCAACTGAAAACCATTGCATGTACTTTGGTCGTTATGCCTGATTGCAGTAGGTTGCTGAGTTCAATGTTTTTCCTCTCCATAATTGTCTATTGTAGGAAAGTTCTTCAAGTTTGAATAAAATGAAGATTCTTCAACCGTGAACCCGCCACCAAACTGGACCATACTGGACCAAAGGTCCTCCCAGCTTTTCTAAGAAGGTGCACGGAAATTTTGGGTATGAAAATTCCCGAAAGGTTTTCGAATTCCTGCTCAGTTCAAGGGCTTGAAGTTGGACCTAGTTGACTGGTTCAATTCATCATTGGTCTGGCTAGAGAGTACTGCCGATGACAAGTCAACAGTCATTTTGTATGAAAAATATGGTCTGCTAATTTCGATTGGCTCCAATAATATTCTGTAAGTTCTCCGGAAATGTCAAATCCTAGCGTTAATATGATGCTCTGTGTCTGTCATGGACTAGTTCCATGTGGTGGCACATGATCTAACTGCAATGAAGATGTAAGTTTTAAGCAATCTAAAACCAATTACGAGTAGCGGTTGAAGTGATGTTGAGAAATGAAACCGAGCATGTCAAAAATTTCATTGCTCTGATAAGATGTCTCTAAATATGTTTTCTGAAACTGAGTTGTTGAGGTCAGTTAAATACTATGCATAAGAGACGAAGAAGGCCTTAATGATGGTAAAAACAAAGAGAATGAAAGAAGCAGTAGCCGGACCAAGGGTTGCCAAAGTACTCGCGCTTGATCCCCGTCCATTTTCACGCGCCATTTGTGCCGGTGGTATCTGGCCACTCGCCTGAATTACTTGGTCAAGTAGCTCGAGCCAATATCAAACCTCACATCCTTGTCATTTGCGTTAATGGAGATGAGCTTGGAACAGTAACAGTAGTTTAGCTCTGAATCATGAGACTGGAAATCAGAGAAACTGTTATTCAACAAATGGGGGCGAAATGAATATCTGTTTCTCTATGAGGGGACTTATACTGTAGAAAGCAGGGAATGATACACAGGGAAGGGATGCTCTTTGTTTTTTCTGTCTTGGCTTTTCTCCATCAACAGTCGAGAGCCACCGAAGACGACCACTGGCTCAACCCAGTGATTTGATGAACTTGCATGCGCAAGTCAAGTCAACTTTGGATTGTCGCCCATGGGGACCAACAAATTGACGATACCATGTGATAAGATTTAGACCAAACACAGCTCCGTTGAAATTCTTGCACAAGGAAGTACATGTTCATCTTCCTTCCAATAAGAACACAAATCCTTCTTTATGTGTTTGCTCACAAACTCTGTAATACAGTATCGAAGTTGCATTCAAATATAAGTAAATCATTTAATTTCTGTTCTTGAATCTACTTGTTTAATGGGCACAATAGGACATCATAGGTGCATTTTGGTGGTACGGTTATACTATTTACTTTTAATTGATCTCTACATCCTTAATGTGATGTATAAAGAGAAAACTGATTCACATAATAACTATACCAACTACCATACCGATATCATAAACTTGTTTTTGTGTAACAAATCTCCTCAGTATTGTGTGATGGACCCAAAATGACCCAATTGTCATTGCACTACATCCACCAAAAACCCTAAACTTTATTCAGTGTGACACCAATACTTTGTCAAACTCTTTTTTAAATACCCCAAATTTGTACCAATGACCCAAAAATATTTAGTTGTCAATGGCCTCAATCTTCGACCAAACAAAAAAATGGCCTAAATCTGGTTTGATGTATCCATATCCCTTGTTTAGTGTAAGGTCTAGCTTACGTGGTGCTTTGTTCACAGTAGTTCCACTAGTCATATACAAGCTGGAAGCTCCAATTTGAAGAGTGTAAAAGTATATTTATGGATATTATAGAATTCCTTGTTATTATATGGACAGACCTTGACTGTGACACGTTATAAAGTCGAATGATTGAGTAAAAATATTGCCTTCCAAGTATTTTTTCTCTCCACGTCAAGAATATTTATAGGCTTTCAAGTTCTTGAACTCAGAACACCTTATTCTCTCAACTGCACGAGTGTTTCCTAATCTGCTTGAAAAATAATGAGGATTTTGCTACTCCTATGGCTGGTCTTAATACTCGCACATACCCACCCCTTCAGCATAGGCACGGTTTTGGTCTCGGGCCAGTGTCTCGGTGATCAGAAGTTGCTGCTGCTGGAATTGAAGAATAGCCTCAACTTCAATGCTTCTTTGTCCACGAAATTGATCGAATGGAATCAGAGCAATGATTCTTGGGACGGCGTGACCTGCGAAGGTGGCCAAGTCACGGGTCTTGATCTGAGCTTCGAGGGCATCACTGGTGGACTTAACGACTCATCGAGTCTTTTCAAGCTCAATAATCTTCAGAGGCTGAATTTGGCTTACAACCGCTTCCCATCTTTGGAGATTCTGTCTGGGTTCAGTAATCTCACCAATTTGGTCTACCTAAATCTTTCAAATGCCGGATTCGCAGGACAGGTTCCAATTGGAATATCACGTTTGACAAGGTTGGTTACTCTTGATGTATCCCTGATTTATTTTCCTGGGTTCACTTCACTGAAACTCGAGAATCCGAATTTAAAGACGCTTGTTGGGAATCTTATCGAGCTGAGAGAGTTGTACCTTGACGGAGTGAAC